GATTTCAGCCATGTTTGCATGGGAGTGACTGAAAACATGCATGCTTTGTGAGCATGAAAACACACAGGCAAGAGTGGGTTCAGTGGAACATTAACCGAGTGTTTGCCGAGCGAGTTCAAAAAGTGGAAAAATGATTGAAACTTGTTCTGTGTTTATTAAAAAAACAAACCATTTTCATAATGTCACTGGGTCATCGTACTTTTTAAATTTAAATGAGTTTTCTAACTGAAAAGCTGAAAAAGAATACTAAATATACTATGTAATGAATCTTTGTATAGTGTACGTTGAGATTTTCCTGTTACTTCATAGCTTGTGGAAGCGATTTCTGAACTTTGAACTGTAGCGCGTAGGCAAGTTATGGAAGTGAAGTTCATTTTCTGGTTCATCTGCAAACTAAACAGCTGCTTAATCAGCGAAGACGAGAGAGATGTCTCATTTTTAGTCACTGCTGAAAGGAGTGTGCTCCGTATGTCTGTAGACTTGAGTTATGTGAAGCAGTTCAGAAATGTGCCCTACCTGGTTTCACCTGTCCAGTTTCAGCATAAGTGACTCAGATAGTTGAGTTTACACTGGCGCGTTTCTGTTATGTGTGGTTATCGCTCTAAAGTTAAAGATAAACACGGGTTGTGTTAGGCCGGAAGATGTTAAAGAGGGGGGAAAGGAGGCTGTGTTTGGAAAACAAAAGGAAAGAGGACATTGTACAGCTCAACTATGCTCGCTGTTAATTCCTTGTTGACAACAGGTTGTTAGTGTCCTTTTTTAAAAAAACTTGGTAGCCTCCTCATGGCTTTGAAAAGGTCACGTGTGCTGGCCCTTTCCAGAAACTGCCAGTGGTTGTTGATTGCGCTGAAGTTTTACTGCCAGCCTGGGCATCCGTCCAGGTTTCAAAGAGAATCCACCAAACAAAACCATAACAACAGTGGGTGGAGCTGGCTTCAAAGTCTCATTCGTTTCGATTCGCCCTTTAGTTTTTAGTCAGATCGTAAGACAAAGTCAAAGAGATCTTTATTGTCGTCTAAGCCCCGTGGAAGTGAACAGAGACGAAACTATGGACACTCCGGGTCCAGGGCCCATAGTGGGATTAAAAAGACATTATGCTTAAATGCCAGGATTTACAAATATAAGCTACAATATACCAAATATATGTATAATATGTATAGACCAGTATGCAAAATGCAAAAGTGAACTCTATGGTTTAAGATTTTAACATTCCTGAAAGTTCAGGCTCAAGCTAACAGTGTAAACCTTGTTCCTGTCATTTCTCTATTTCTTTCCATTTATCCTTCAACAGGGCCATTTATCTCGAGTGGTAAGTCTCCATAACAAGTATTGTCATGATTTCCAGCATGAGAATCATTCTGACAGCATGACTGTCGCTAACTAACCTTTTAAAAGTGATCCGTGTTCGTGTATGTGTGTGTTTTACAACGTGCGATGGCTAAAAAATGAGTGTGGAGAACTTTAAAACCATCTCTCCTTTTTAATTATTTCCATTTTCCTTTTCTGGATTTAGCTGGAAAATGGAAAATATTGCGTTGTTTGTGTTTTGCATGCGCATGTGTTTTGTTTACTGTTGCTATGCAGACAAATGTTTATTTCAGTGTCTTTTTTAATCCTCTTCTTTCCCGGTGTTTGGATGAAAGAGTTTGATTAAAAAAATGAACTAATTATGAAAGCTTGCCTCCACTACTGAAGAAAACCTGTTTTTCTACTTCTTCTTTTTGCCATTCAAAAATCCAGACTTGGGTTATTATCTCAAAATTTCAACTCCTATGCAAATTTCTGAGAAAATAACAAAATAACTTAAAAAAGGAATTATTAGGTTGAAATTTTGAGATAACTTGAAATTATTTTCAGTGGTGGAAATAAACTTCTATGCTCATCTAATGCCATCTCCTGGACTAAAATCGCAGCAGAGTCTTATATTTTTTGACAAAACACTTGAAGTATATTTATGGCCTGCTGGTCTGGACAGAATCAGGCTGTAATCAGTGTCATAAACTTGTGAAATTTGGTGAACCTCACCTATGAATTAAAGCTGATACCCAGAAAAATGTAGTTCCAGCTGAAAACAACCAAATTAAATGATTACATTGTTTTCACTGTCTTAATTCATTCATTCATGTTTACTTGTGTCAAACATTAGTCCTGTAGATTGCATTAAAGCTAAGTAATTTATTTCCTCTGCCTCCCCTGCTATGATACCTGCCATCATCAGAGTCCATGTATATGTGGTGATGGTTCCACGTCATTGGATAGTGCTATCCACATGATCACCATCATGCTGAGACATGTACATGGGAGGAAGCTGTGGCTTATGTGCTGAAGTGTAACATGTTCTCATTTTCCTCTTACCCAAATGCTGCTTGTTGTCTCTGCCCTCCTTTCAGGGGTAAAACGAATTACATCAACCTGGGCTCATTCTTGATTAAGCCGGTGCAGCGAGTGATGCGTTACCCGCTGCTGCTGACGGAGTTGCTCGGGGCCACCCCGGAGAGCCACCACGACCGGGCCCAGCTCGCTAAGGCTGTGCAGGCCGTCAAGGACATCAACGTGAACATCAACGAGTACAAACGCCGAAAAGATCTCGGTAAAGCACCCGGGTGTTAATTAAAATCCACATTTTGGCCTCGTGTATTTCTGGCAAGCTCAAAATGTAGTCACAGGTGTCAGTTTGTTTTGTCTGTGCTTGAGTTGTGCTTATCAGGTCAGGGCTGGTTTGACGGCTCAAGTTTTCCCTCTGCTGTCCACAGTGGTGAAGTACAGGAAAGGGGACGAAGACACGTTCATCGACAAGATCTCCAAGCTGAGCATGCACTCGATTATCAAGAAGTCGAACCGCGTCAGCAGCCACCTGAAGCAACTCACAGGAATTTCACCGCAGGTATATTTCCCGCCATCAGTGGAAGTGTTTGGAGAGAACATTGCAGATGAGAGCGCGCTTGTCTAAAAAAAATGCTTGATCTGATGTTCTGTGTTTTTCCCCAGATTAAAGATGAAGCGTTTGATGAAGCTGAAAAAAGATTCAGGCTGCAAGAGAGACTCATCAAGTCTTTCATCAGAGATATTTCCCTGTACCTGCAGCATATCAGGGTAGGAGTTCATCATCTTAATAGTAACTGAAGCTTTTATTTATTTTTGCAGTCTTTAAAATGATGGTAGGCCATATTAGCATAGTGTTTGACGTATTAAATAAGACATTTTGATAGGAAAATACAACTCCTGCATATCTTTTCTTTTCATATACTGTATAATAACTGTGAAAATGCACCTGTCATCAGGAATCAGCATCTGTGAAGGTCCTGGCAGCCATCAGTTTCTGTGACATCTACACGGAGCGCAGTGTGCTGGATCCCGACCGATTTCAGAGAGCTCACCGCTACATCAGTGACAAAAAGTTTACAGAATTTGTAAGTGCTCTTCTTCTCCTTACTGTTACTTACACTGTGAAAGCACAACCTCTGATGATCCCTTATCTGCCCGCATCATCTGTCGAGCAGAAGGAGCGCACAGAGGCCTTAGTCATCAACCCGCTCACCCAGCTCCTCCTCATGTTTGCCGGGCCCCACAAACTCATCCAGAAGCGCTTCGATAAGCTGCTGGACTACGACAACTGCAAAGAGCGCGCCGATCGCTTTAAAGACAGACGCACCCAGGAAGAGCTGCAGGTGACACGCAATACTTACGAAGCGCTCAACGCCCAACTTCTGGACGAGCTACCGAAGTTCCACGGCGTGGCAGAAGAGCTTTTTACAGGCTGCGTGAGGGCTTTCGCTCAAGCCCAGAAGGACTTCATGAAGACGACGCTGGGAGAGCTGAAGCCACTCCTACAGGTTGTGAGTGTTTGTTTATGACAGTGTGGGAGGAGCATAAATCTGACTTTTTCTTAAAAAAATACGTTTGGGTATCTTTAATGTAAAAATACTGTTTAAAAGGTTTAGATGTAGGTGGCTGTGGCTCAGGACTATGATCGGGCCGTCTAAATGCAGTGTGAGTGTGTAATTTTTTTTTTTTTCTTCTTTACCTTTATCTCCAGTTTTCTAACAAAGTTGGCACGGGGAGCAACCTGATTTCACAGTTTCAAGAAGAGCACAGTCAAGTCCTCCAGCTTCTTCAGAGCTTTAGCTTCTGCCCAGAGAACCTGCCTCCGGCCTCCGCCGCCGCAAAAAAGCCCTTTGAGAAGAAAACTCTGGAGAAGCAGACTTCTAAAAAGCAAGTCCAGGGACCTGTGAGTAGAATTGTGATGACATTTCATTTCTTATTCAAACAAAACAACAAAGGAGTTTTGCCAATGATCTAAACGAATGTCTATGGCGTCCTTTAGCCCAGCCACGTCCCGCAGACAGACGAGCACCGTGCAGAACTTCTGGTGCGCTTTGGCCCTGAGAAACTTTACCAGGCAGATAGGAATTTTAATGCTGCGCAGGATCTGGATGTCTCTATACAAGAGGGCGACCTTGTGGGTGTAATCAAGCAGCAGGACCCCATGGGAAGCCAGAACCGCTGGCTAATTGATAATGGAGGTAGTGTTTATTTTTCTGTCTACTTTAATTGATATGCTCTTCAGCCAAATGTTGCAGCAATATAATTTTTATATTCTTGTTTTCCAGTCGGCACTGGTTTCGTATACAGCTCCTTCCTCAAACCCTACAATCCTCGAAGGAGCCATTCAGACGTCTCCATCGAGAGCCAGTCGTCCAATGAGTCGGGCTACGGCGGCTCCTCCCCTGTTTTCTCCCGCCAGAACAGCAACAGCACGCTGACCTTTAACCAGGAAACGGCCACTGTCAGCTTTACGCAATCCCAGAGCCATTCATCCCCACAGCCGTCGCTGGACTCCGCCTCATCTCGTAGGAGTCACCAGAAAGACGTACCGCACCCCGACTCTGCCAGTCAGAGCAACTCCATGAACTCTTCACCCCGAAACCCCTCAAACCGCAAGGAGTTTTCAGATCAAACGCACCGAAATACCTCCAGTCACAGAGACGTAGAGCCTTCTTACCGGCACTCGGGCAGTCACAGAGACTCGTACGACACGAGTTACGGAAGTTCAAGCGGACACAAGGAGATGTCGGACCTCTCTGAGACAGACTCTTATTCTTCGCAACGTGACAATCACTCGCAGCGGTATGGACACACAGACAAAAGCTACAGTTCATATCAGTGGAGAAACGGAGACAGCAGCAATCAGAAGAAACCTGTTTATTCCAGAGAGGAGTACATCGAGCCAGAGCCAGAACCAGAACCAGAACAGGAGAGTGAAGTGGACGGACATCAGGTAAGATGTTATTTGCTCAAATGTCTCTATAAATGGATTTATGATGCCAAAAGAGCCGACTTCATTCAGGCGTTACTGGATGTGTAAATAGGCAAATATTCCAGTTGTATTGGAAAGATCTGCTCCCCCTAGTGACCAAAAACACTAATGGCATCTCTGACGTGTTCGTTTCAGATCTACTATGCCCTCTACTCCTTCACCGCCCGTTGCGCCAATGAACTGAGCATCTCAGCCAATGAGCGACTGCGAATTCTCGACTTCAAGGACATGAACGGCAACAGCGAATGGTGGCTGGGGGAGGCGGGCGGTCGGCGAGGATATGTGCCTTCCAACTATATACGCAAATCCGAATATACATGAACAAATGTTGCGGGGGAGAAATGAGACTGAACTTTAAGAGGCATTAAGAAGGTTTAACTCCGTGAGCACAGACAGAACAAAGAGACAAGAAAGTGAAGTGTTGTCTGACCAGTGCTGCAAACCGCCCCTGAAAGTCTATGTTTATAGACTTTTTCTTTTTTATTATTATTTTTTTTACTTGCTGAAAAACTGCACGCTCCCCAAGCCCCACTTAGTTTCCCGTGGGGGAAAAACCTGTGAATTGGAACAAACTTGCCATATTTCTTTTTTGGGGTTTCAGTTAAGAGAACAGTCTTTAGGATCAGCTCATTGGGAGATTGCAATGAAAATGTGAATGTTTTTGGTTCAGACTGACTCTTAAAGCATTGAGTGGTATGTGGACAGACTGACCTGACACTGTGTTAACTCCTTTTTTTCTTTTTTTTCCTGCATGTGGTTTGTTCCACCACTGTAGTGGTAACTATGGGATGAATTTATAACATTCAGTTGAATAATCAGTGTTTGAGGCAAAGTTTGAAGTGTCTGCAGAGCCATCGGCAGAAGTTTGGGGTGTTGGACTGAAATCAACATTCGTCATATAGTTTACAAGCACTCCTTTTAACTTTTGGGTGAATTGACTCCCAGTAAACTGGTTCTTTAAGAGAACAGGGAGAGGGAGACTTGCAGTCTGATTGGACCCTTCTCTAAATGCTACCCATGTATTTTATAGGATATATGATGCTGTATATTGAGATGGTATTGTACCCACTGTAAAGTGATCACTGAATAAAAAAACAAACTAGCTGAAAAAACTGGTGACAGTGTTTGTTGGTGTTTTTTTCTGCTCAGCTTAGGCATAGTGGGGTTAGTAAACAGTGGAGTTACAGTGTTGTAATCTGTGCTACGTTCCCACAGGCACACGAACACAACACACACAAAAACAGCACAGTTCAAAAATGGTTTTTTATCCTCATAAAGCTATGGGTGGACACTGAGTGGACACTTGTTTCTGCTACTGAAAGCAAAAAACTCTTTTTACCATCAATAAGTCAAAAATTCAGATCATCTCAAAAATCTTGACTAAACTAAATGAACTAATAATAAGAATAACTTTAATGATCCCAAGAGGGAAATCAATGTGTCTGACTTGGCTCATCTGCTAAATTAATAAAGGTAAAGTTTAAGTTTAATAAAGTTTAATAAAATTGAAAAAACTAATGTAGAATTTGCAGTTGCAGGAGGAGGCTTCCATAGCATCTGAACTAGCTATTCTGAACTCTGTAAAACTTAAAGGACTGGTTTCCTTCTTCTGATAACTAAAATCAACAGAGATTTATATAAAGCAATAGTGACATATGACATAAAATACAACTCTGGGGCCAGGATGAACCCCCATCAATTGGGTTTTGAACAGGAAATATGACATTTGAACTTGTCACTGTGTTGCATCAAGCAGAATGATTTATAAGAAAGAGAACCAAAATTATGTCAGAGAGAGCAATCTAAAAGGCAGGAAATAAAATTGCCTAAAAACAAAACACACAGGGTAAGATCAAAGTAAAGACAGATGGATGAATTTCACTAACTTGTGCTCTGTGTTTATGAACGTAGGACACCAATTGTTGGATTCTTGAAAACAACATGCTTTGCTACTGCTGACTTTTTTTTTTTTTTAAATTCACACAAAAAATCTTGACATGTGGCAAATTGGCTCTCATCTGTATAGTTCTAGTTATAAACCATGCCGCTCAAACAGGTGCAGAATGTGGTTTGTTCGAGACATTATCTGAAATAACACATCTGGATTGGCTAGATGGCAACATATGTTGCTCTAAATTACTTAATATGTTAAGTATCAATTTGCTTTTTCCAGGGAAAAAAGTACATATGTTTATTTTGTTGTTTTTTAAAGAATATTCGCTTTTTTTGTGCCTTGCATTTATTTTCCATATCTGAGCTCACTTTACAGTTTGATAACTCTGCTATAGTTTATATACTTTTTGTCTACTTTTGTCATGTGACTGTTATATTGGAAATGGAGAGACATTCAAACTGGGGAAGATCCTTTCACCACATACTCAGACTTTCTGGGTCTCGGATGTAACACTGCAGGTATGTGTCTCGTGTAAATTCAGATGCCGAGGCCCTTTACAACGACACTGGTTTGCCACATTTATCAAATGCAGTGTTTTTAATTCTTCCTTTTAAAAGGAAAATAAGACACGATAATTATTATAGCAGAACCTGTGAAGGATACAAATGCATCCCTGTGACATAGACACAGGGATGCATGTTGGAGAATTTGAAGCTAAATAACTCAAAAAACAACTTAAAGTATGGAAAACCTCAGTTAGCAAACAGATTTTAACAAAGGGCAGCAGAAGGATTTATAAGAAAGACGTCCAAAATTATGTCAGAGAGAGCAATCTTGACAAAATGTAAAACAAGCACTATGAGTACTTTCCGGATGCACTGTATGTCTTTTGAATTTGGAAGAGTTCTCAAGCACAAGCAGTTAAGAAAGTCAGAGACTTAATTTAAAGGCAACTTGTATTTTATTTTGTTTGTTCTATATCAAAGTAATCCAAAATTCTTGCAGATTGCTTTTACATCATAAGATGCATCAAAAATGTCAGTGATCCTTTACATAAAACATCTTGGTCTGTCTGACACTGCAGGCTGATTCTGGAGGCCCATTGGTGCGTGTGAGCATATATTTTTGGGGGGTTGTGTGAAAGTAATCACAAACAGCATGCACTATGTCACTCTAGTGGTAAGCTGTGGTCAGAAGAACAAGCCTGGTGTCTACACCAGCGTCCATACATACAGCTAGATCAGGAGCAAGATCAACTCAACATCACTCATCTGATTCACCTTACTTTGCTGTGTGTTTTTCTGTACTTAGCAGTCATTTGTATTCTGGGAATAAAAAGGGACAATAGCTTAGCTTGCCTGGGAAAACAACCCAACAAAAACAGTTTATTAATCATTGATAAAACCAAGAATTTACTCCGAGCCCAGCTTTGAGTTAAAAGAGACACAAACTCACAAAGCTGAACCTGCCAGACAAAAGTACATCCCATCACTTCAGTAGGCTTATACTTAAGTGCATAAAATGATCAAACCTGTTTTGCAAGACTGCAACAAGGTTTTGTGCTTTCATCATTTGAACTTTCAGCATACAGTATTTATCAGATTTTTTTTAAAAAGGACCAAGCAAAGTGTAAAAAAATGAGTTTGAAATCCTTTGCACTCTGCATCAGTGGCCATATAACAATCTGGTCCAGCCCATATTTCTTCCAAATACACTCAGTATATGAAAGCAAAAACTTTCCTTCAGCAGTTTGACCTTCAACCTGCAATAACTTTAATTCAGCTTTGTTAATCCTGTCGTTTTGCTTGAATTTGCTAAAAATGGCTCTTCAATTGAAATTTACACCTTAGCACTCACACAAATACCAACAATCCTTCCAACAAACATCACTAGTGGTGTCCTGGTTCAACATGCTTAATCTCACTCTTAATCATATGAACTCTGCTGCAGTTTGTTATTACATCTATAGCAGCTCTGATAATATTGTGGCTTCTCATGTAACTGCAAAGTCACAATTATCGCTTCATCAAAGTAGTAAAATAACTCAGTCAAATATAAGCACACTTTCTAAAAGTGACCATCTCTGTCTCCAAATGTCTCCTTTGCTCTACGCTTCTTCTATGGCAGCAACTTTACTGGACTTGGTTGTGTTCTGAAGGGTGGCTGAAGACGAAGACGAGGTGGTGCTGGACTTCTTCTCCATGGATCTGAATGAAGTTGTGGTGGTGCTGGACTTTTTCTGCACGGTCTGGATGGTCTTCTTCCTCTTGACATGAAGAACTTCCATCGCATCCATGTTGACACCTCGCTGGATCTCCTCGCTGGTCTCCACCTGCTCAGAAGCTTGCTGTTGCTGTTGTTGCTGCTCCTCCATCATCTGCTGATAATGCAGCTGAAAGGAAGACAGAGAGGAAGTTTTCAAGACCCTTTGCTGTCTAAGGACTTCCTTATTTTATATATATATATATATATTTATTTATTTTTTTTAAAGACACTGTACTAATCACTAGTGTCACCATTCCATGATGAACTTACCATCATGTGTTGCTGATACTTCGCAATAGCCTCATCAGCGCTAACTCCATCAGCCAGCCCCAACTCTGCAGCCCGGCGTGCAAGCTCTGCTTTATGAGAACCAGGAGGGGTCCAGCCCACTCCTCTGATCCAGTTCAGGTCCGACTTGTAGTTCACCTTGAATAAAAAAGAAAAGAAATGACAGTGGTATATTTCTACTACAAATAAGCAAGTGGCCCAAATTTAATACATGGCATTCTTAAATAACTTGGGGTTAATATTATCAATACATTTCATACAATCTCTGGAAGATTTGGGTTAAGCCTGGGCTTATAGTCAGTTAGTTTTTTAATTAAAAAAACATGAATTATGATTCTGATTAAGGCAACAAAACAAGCCAAAAACCTAACAGTGCTTCTTCCCTAAATACATATCAATCAATAAATAAATGACACATCAATAAATGACAGTAATTATATTTTCAGATCCAGCTCAGTTGCACGAGCATCACAACTTACATCACTCTGCAGTTTGTAGGCCTGCTTTGCATGCTTGACATTGAGCTGTTCGGGGTCACAGGTGTAGTCGTGGAGCTTGTGTCGATAGGTGAGGTCACTAGCCTGAGCTTGGCTCTTTTTGGCGTGCAGGAACTCGGGCTGATCCGGGCGGATGTTGTAGTGGGCACGTTCCTCCTTGGACTGACGTTTGTACTCTAAGTTGCTTTGGAGTTTGCTTGCTGCCAGAGAGTGCAACATCTTAGGGTCATCCTCCACGCAGCGCAGGCCTACCTGGTGGCCCTTCTCCTTCAGGTGAGCCTCCTTGTAGCGGAACTGTTGCAGGGAGAAATACAGGGTCAGCCTCCTTTAAATGCCTTTGTTTAATACTGTTACTGTTAGTATAAAAATGTTTGTCCTGGAATAATAGCCTCAAAAATGTATTTTAATGCAACAAGGCCCATAACTCACATCACTAGCGATTTCTCTGGAAGCCTTAGCAGTTTGGAAGGGAATAGCGTCCAGCCTCAGGTCATAGCCCGATGTCTTCACTTGCTCCCCAGACGCCTTGTAAACTTTCTTCACGGAAAAATAATGCTCAAGATTAAAATGTTATGTAGAGATATTATCATCTTTTTTTTAAAGGATTTTAAAAAATATTTTTTGCAAGTATTTAGCTGATAAATGTGCCTTACATCACTAATCTGCTGGGCATTCATCTTTGCTCTGATGAAGTCTGGATCATCTGGATGCAAGGTGTATTTATGCATGTCGTCATTCTTTCCAGATTTGTACAGCCTCTGTAGTGGATGAGAGGCACAGGCATGAACAAGGTAGCAATATCACCGCCAGCAGCTAAGACAGCAAAAGACTTAGAGCGGAATCAGGTTTTTGAATCAGTTCTCTCTTATAAACATTTCCATCTTCTTCCTACCTCACTGCACTGCTGATAGCTAGTCTTAGCGTGGACTATATCAGGAGAGTCGGGCACTGAGGTAAACTTCAGGCTGTCTGGCAGCTGGCGATACCTCTTCTGCAAGAAGGAAGACCACACACACATTTAGACACAGATGGCGAAAGCTTTTAAAGCAATACTGCATAAATGCTAAATTCAGCTTCATATGCAGTCAGAGCTGGAGCTCATAACCTTACAGGAGTTTAATTAAAACCATAAACATGATGGATATATTACGTTAATTTGACAGTAAACTGCAGCAATATTATAAATTAACAGGTTTCGGTGCATTGCTCACATCACTTATAAGTTCTCCAGCCTTTTTGGCAGACTCCAGCTGAGGCGCACCCACTCCATCCCAGGCTACCCCTTTTATGAAATTGAGGTCTGACTTGTAGAGTTTCTAAACATAAAGTAATAGAGCAATAGATGAGTCAGGACATCTGCACTTCCTATTAGTAATTTGATCTCTTCTTCACTCCCAGCTCTCACCTCACTCTGCAGTTCATAAGCCTTTTTGGCCCATTTGACCTTCATGTCGTCAGGGAGCACCGTGTACTTGTGCAGCCTCGTCCTGTAGTCCTGGTCGCTGGCCAGTGCCTGCGCATTCTTAGCCGCCACCAGATTAATCATGTCTGGAGTGAGGTGGTACTGCCCGCTGGTTGTCAGTGCATCCTTGCGGTACTCCTGGTCGCTGGCCAATCGGCCGGCCTGCAGGCAGTGCAGCATATGTGGGTCGTCCATGATGCATTTGACCCCAATGTGCTTCCCCTTTTCCAGCAGGTGGTTGTGTTTGTACTTGTACTGCGGAGACACAAGTTAGATTAAACAACTGGAACTGATCTGCAAATTTTAATCAAAAGGATACAAAACCCTGCATACGATTCCTACTTTACCAGAGCTTAGAGTGAGCATTTTTTTTTAAACTTAATCATGGTTGATTTAACTCTTTAAATACTTGGGTTTTGCTGTGCTGCTCAACAAATGTGATCTTACATCACTGGCTATGCCCGTGGAGCTCTTGGCAGCCTGGAAGGGGATGTCCTGCATGGTGAGTTTGTATCCCTGAGCCCTCAGAGTGTGCCAGGACTCTCTGTACTTTATCTGCAAAGAAAAAAAAAAGATATATATAGGAAAAACACATATAACATTTGAAAAGAACATGCTTATGATCACTGTATGCTGTTAAGTACCTCACTAAAGTTGGCTGCATTGATCTTTGCTTGTGTAATCTCTGGCCTCTCAGATGTAATAGTGTAGCTGTGTTGGTCATTCACCCCTTTCTCCTTATACAAACGCTGGGACAGAGAGATAAAACCCAGTTTATTATCATTCAAATCATCAAATATTTCCAGCAAAGTAACATGCCTGGTTATTTTTAGTAATCTTAAAAAGGAACGTTGCAGCTTAAGCAAGCAAAAAAAAAAGACCTGTAGAGTACATTTACAAGAAAAGGAGAAACTAAAACAGAAACGTTATTGTCTTACTTCATTTGCGATCTGTGAACTGTGTTTGGCATGGATAATATCTGGAGAGTCAGCAACAGAGGTGTGCTTGAAGTTGTACGGCTGCTGACGGTACTTTTTCTGTTGCAGAGAGAATTAAACAGTTAGTTTTTGGTGTAAATCAAATCAATGTTTTGAACTCCCACCAACAAAATCAAAATTTAAACCCAGAAAAATTATAGTGAAACATTTCTACCACTGAAAACGTCAGATCCAGAATCAACTATACGATTTCCCTTGATCATGCATCAAGATACGGTGAATATAGGCAGCCTAACATGCACTGAACACACTAAAAAGGGCAGAAAGTAAATGAAAAAACATAGGGGATATCTCACTTCACTGATGAGGTCTGTGGCCTTCTTGGATCCTTCAATCTGCAGAGCACCAGTGGCGATCCAGGCTGTGCCACGCAGGTAGTTCAGGTCAGAGCGATACAATTTCTGTAGGGTGGACAAAAAAGAATAAAATAGGAATATTACAGAAGCAAACATGATTCCATTTTATTACTGTCAGTTAATATCTAGTACAAGTTTCAGCCTTTAATAATCAATTTGCCTGGTAGATGTGTGCTGTCTGTTACAGAGATAAATAAACCAGCCTTGCAACCAGCCTCAAACACACTTTAAGTATCAGATACTAGCTGTTTCTTCAAAATAGCCTGGCCTCAACAACTGGCACTAAAAACTGAAAATCTTGATCACATCTCTGAATGTAAAAACAAGTCTCATTACATAGAAACAACCACTGCAAAGGGTTTTTTTTTTTATCTACAAATACAGCATTTTATGTCTTCATTGATTTAATGGTTTAAAATTGTAAAGTACAAATAATGTTGCCTTTTTCACAGCAAGCTCAGTTGTGACGGAAGAGCGTTGTTAAATCTATAAATAAAAGATGCTGCGTGCAGCTGTCTGCCATCACTCTCACCTCACTCTGCAGGGTGTATGCTTTCTTGGCAGCTAGCAGCTTCAAGTCATCCGGCAGCGCGGTGTATTGATGCAGGGACAGCCGGTATTCCTGGTCACTGACTAATGACTGTGCCTTTTTAGCATGTGCAACCTCCAGCATGTCCATGGGTAGGTGGAACTTTGAGAGTTCCTTTGCAGAGTCCTTCTTATACTTGATCTAGACGGGGAAATGTGATTACGAGAATATTGTATAATCATTAAAATATGATTTCTATCAGCTAAACTGCAGAAACTAAGGACTCACATCACTCTGTAGCTTGCTGGCATAGACTGAGTGAGCAATGTTCAAGTCATCCTGCAGTCCCTTCAGACCGATCATCTTCCCTTTGGTCTTCTGAAATTCTTCTCTGTACTTTTGCTGAAATGACACACAAAACACACAAAGCTTAGTGAGGAGAGATATTTGAAAATCTGTGTTGACAAGAGCAGTTTGGGTTCAACTTTCTGCTAAAAAATAGTAATAATGTGGTTTCATATGATGAAATGGACTCTCACATCACTGAGGATCTCTGCAGATGCTTTGGCAGACTGGAAAGGAATGGCATCCAGACGCAGCTTGTAACCGCCATCACGTATCTTCTTCCAAGATTCCTTGTATTGCGTCTGAAATGTGTCGGATGGACAAACTCAGTTTCACAGCGAAAACATTATATAAAACCTGCCGCAGAGAAGAACTTTTCGACTGACTAAATGTGCCTATGTATGGTTTTACCTCACTGATATTCATGGCATTCAGCTTGGCTTGCACCAACTCGGGTAACTCTCCGCTCAGTGTGTAGTTGTGCTTCATGTTTTCACCCTTCTCCCTGTACAACCTCTGTAAAGAAGAAAGAACAGCACTAAAGATCAGTTTACCGCAATGAAACAAGCCTTAAAATAACTCAATCCGGTGAACTTCTAGGTGCTACAGTGGTTTTTGTGGCATATGTCAAGTGGGCCAAAAAAACTCAACAAGCTAGGTAACAACATGTTTGTTGTATGCTATATCACGCAATAATAACATATAGCTGAGGCTACAAATGTCAGCTGAACTTACATCAATCGCAAGTTTGTTGCTTAGTTTGGCCTGGATCATCTCTGGAGTGTCTTCAACACTGGTGAACTTCAGAGCGCTCACATCCTGACGATACTTTTTCTGGAGAAGAAAAACACCCCAGTGATGAACACTAGGCTGTAACAATGGGAGGCAACCATAAAAAACTCAATGCATATACGTGTTGGGACCACTAGAGGGCACCCACTATATCATAAATATCCCACATAGCAAAATTGGTATGGCTCAGATCTGGCCCACACAATGTGCTTACACATGGCCCACATACCGAAAAGAATGACGGCCCCGATCTGATTTGCCAGAGGTGGCTCACACATGGGCCAGTTGCAGACACACTGCTGACCCTGTGCTGGCCCAGAACATTTTGAGCTCTGGTCCCAGATGTCAGCCTAATGTGTACCTTAATCAAGCCATGTAATAACAACATGTGCTGGAACATAATAGTGGAAAACTAGCAAGACAAAACTCTGTTCAGACAGTGAATGGACTGATTCTTATATAATGCCTTTCTAGTCATCCAGATTACTCAAAGTGCTCTGTACAACATGCCACATTCACCCAATCACACACTTTGCCTAAAATGGGTGCTTCCTAACTATATTCTAGCTCTTGACATGCAGACTGGAGGCAGGGATCGAATCACTTACCCTCTGATCAGTAGGTGACCTGCTCTACCTCCTGAGCTTCAGCCACCCAGTGGTAAACATGACTAAACCCTCACTAGGTTTAGGATAAAGTGTACATCACAAACCTGTCAAACCTGCAATTGAAACGTTGGCTACCATAGCAGTATAGTATCGCAACATGACATTTGGGTCTTCTAACTAAAATAGGAAAATAGGAACATAAATAGTGCCATCATTGCCAGACCTGGCCCACATCTGGTTGACATACACCCCGCCATGACACCAGTCAGTCAGAAGTGCCAGCTTGATGCCGGATCCGGGCCAGACCTGTTTTGTATGAGCCTGGGCCACACAAACCAAAACACAATAGGGCCAGATGTGGCATGCCATCGCATAAACAGTGCCATCTACACCAGGCCTGGCACATATCTGGATGACATATCACTTGCCATGCCAGAAGTCAGCCAGCTGTGCCGGCTTGACACCAGATCCAGGCCAGACTTTTCTGCTATGTGGGATGGATCCTAAAAAATAAACTACCTATAAAAATCAAAAAGATGGAAAAACAAAAGGAGACTTTGTTAGATAGATACATAACCACATGTTCACAAACAGTATACAGAAAAATGCTTGCTCAGGACGGGCTCCAAGATCTGTTCTATTTCATAAACTAATGGTGGTAACATGAGTGGAATGACAAATAAGTGGTTGCTCATGATGAGATTAAGAATAGTGCATGTAGATTCCAGCCTTGTGTATCATTTGTAGAACCTATTACATAAAAGACCTATTACATAAAAAGACTCCACCAGATAAAAAGAAGTGAGTTCTGAGATATCAGATTCTTTACATGATGGGCTTCTGGAAAATGTAGGTACAAGAAAATGGCCAAAAGGATTTATCAAGAGTGTTTGCTAAGTAGGGGGCATGCAGACTTGAACCAGAGACCTCTTGATCTGCAGTCAAATGCTCTGCCACTGAGCTATACCCCCATTCCTCCTAATGCTCTAAAAGAACCCTGATAGCTAAGGCTTTGAATTGGATTGTGTCAGGAAACACTAAGAACAAGGACAGTCAAAGGATAGGACAACATTTGGATGAAAATATAGTTTAGAAATGAACAAAGATGAAATACTAAGGAACTGCGTTTATCTGAATGCAAAATCAGGCCTGGAAAAAGCCCTGATATCTAAGGCTTTGACTCGGATTGTGTCTGAAAATGATAAGCTGCATGACAGTCAAGAA